AATACATTTCTTTAAAGTAACTTTTTTTAAAAATATAACTCATTTAATTTATTTTTATAACTTTAATATATTGTTTTTTACTGAACGCACCTTGCTCAATAAACACTCAGTATATTTTTGTTTGTTCTAATTTAAAAATACATTTTTGGGGCTCCAAGTTGTTGTTTTTGCTGTAATTAAAATATTTCTATTTTCCAGAAATAAACTAAAAACATCTGTTTTTATTTTTTTATTAAATGTGTCTTACAGGCTGAAGCCACATATAGTGATACATTTGGTTTTTTCAGTAAATGTTTCTGTTGGTTGAGTTTTTTGTAAAATTCAGTTTGAAAGCAGAACATCTAGAGGATTCAGGTATCAGGTAAATATGTCACACAAATTAATTTAATAGGAAAATAAATATCCTAGCACTTAATATGGAATTTATTGATTTTTAGCAACAATAGATTTATTTAAAAAACATAATACTAAGAAGTTATCCTGACAAATAGCTGAGCAGTAACCAAAGTCCCTCAAAATAATACAAGGATATATTTAAATAACTCAGATTATGTCAGCTAAAAAACCGAAAGAAATGTCCCAAAAATTCTATTAATTTTTATCGGAATGTTGTCCACGATAGAGTCCCATATCCTCAAAAAAAAAAAAACAACTTCCTGGAAATATTCCCCAATTTCAATCCAAAATGAAAAATCAAAAACGACAAAAGCCCCAAAACATGAGAAAAATGGTGGCGCCACCAAAAACCCGCAAAAAGAGAAAAAAGCTCCAGATCTCACCGGGAGCGTCTTTCTTCCTGCTCTCGCACCGGGCCGCGTTTCCTGGGCGCCATGTGGCGTCGAGCCGTTTATGTCTCTTCTTTCGGTTTTTTACTTGTTCCAAACATTCATAAAGGAAAATCTCCGCTGCACAGATGGCGCCCCTTTTTATTTGGTTGTCACCTGGAACCAGCGTGATGCTGCGCGGAAACCAGCTTTAAACTGTGGAAACTTTGGAAAATTCAACAATCAAGTGACTGAAACTGTCCTAAAAAACAGTCTGATAATTTGTTTAGTCAAAGGAAAACAAACATAGAGGTTATGTTGCAATTTATTTGCATTAATTTTTTTTGTAAGCAAAATGTTTTCAAATTCATCCTCAAACTGCAGATATTGGATTTTATTTCTACTTTATTTTAGGGAGTTAAAGATAATTAACTGCTGCAATTATGTTTAACTGTGGGTAAAGAGAATGGATGGATTGATGGTGTTTAAAAAGTTGGATTATTTTTTTCACTTTTCATCGATGATATTAGAAATATTGGAATATCTTCTGTAGTCGATATCCTTTTTATTGACTGCAGTCAATAAAAAGTCAATCCTCTGGTTTAAAAAAAAAAAGAAAAAAAAAGAGTTTTTTAAAAAAAAAACTGTTTTTTTTATAAAAAAAAACAGAGTTTTTTTTATTATAAAACTCTGGTTTTATAAAAAAAGATTAGTATAATTTCATAATTTTTCACAATATATCAATTTATTATCAAGAAGATGATTATATTTATTTAAAGAGTAGTTTAGGAGAATATCTCCTATTTTCCTCTATTTCTGATCTTTTAAAACCACTGCGGTAGTCAAGTGTAGCAAAAAATAAGTTCTTTGTGAAATTAAACGCTATTACTAAATACATTTTAAATAAATATTACTAGTAAATAATAAATATAATGAATAAAATATAATCCGTTCATAATTATTCTCACAGCTTTTATTTTGAAGGAGCGCGCTTCTCTTCCGGTGTGTCGGACATAAAACCGCGAATTGACTGTTGGAATATGGTGTCCATGATGACAACTTGAAAATCCCAACTGCAGTCAGAGGCGATAGTACCTGCTGGAACCAGTTCGGTGAGAATGAAAGCGGGTCCGGCTCGGTTCGGGAGCCGCCTGGCGGGGTAGCGCCCTCCCGGCCGCCTGGCTAGCATGAACTGTGGCGGCCGCCGCTTTTGTTTACATCCAGTCCAGATGATGGTGATGATGGGCCCGGAGAGGCGTGTTGGCTAACCCCGCTACTCGCGCTGCTTCCAGGGAAGGTGTCATCGGGGAACCCGCTGTGTTCGGACCGGGTCGGTCCGTCCAAACCGCCGCCGCCTGAAGGGTGAGCTGACCGACGTCACTAACCGTAACTGGCCGCTTTTACGCAGCTGTTGACGGGAAAGCTACTGACCAGGCCTACCTGTTAAAAACATTGCTGACTTTTAAACATCATTTCTAACCTGAAAACATGTTGTCTTTGTTTAAAATAGAAAATAAAGTAAAAAAAATAAATAAACGCAAAACCATACAAACATTAATGATACTTTTAAATTAAGTAGATGTAATTTAAGCTAAATTGTAAATGGTTTTATTTACTAAATCTAAATACTTTATTGTCCTCAAAAACTAACCATGGGCCTTTACTACAAATCTGCATATCATTAAAGTAAATTATTTAATCCAAAAAGGGAAATACATACTTTATATGACGGTACGTGATTATTATATGAGATGAAATAACTAGTCTGTCGATTTTACTGTAACAAAAACCCAGAAAGGAAGTTTCTCAGAAAATTAGAATAATATCCTAATTATTATTATTTTTTAAATACAAAAATATTATGATGTGGAAGAGATGGTGATGAAGATTTAACATCAGAAGATGGTCATTAACGTCCTTCACAAGAAAGGTAAGTCACAATTAGGCCTGTTGCAATCAGCAATAAAATAATTAATCACCTGATAAATTAAAACAAACTCAGTAATTTCCATTTGCATGATTTACTGTTTTTCTACCAACAACTGGATGATAAAAGTCTCCAGTTTGGTGTTTGGTCTCAACCAGCCCTTCTATAGAGATTTGATGATTCGTTTTATTCGTTGTTTCTGTTTTGTTTCTTTATTTTGGATATTTAAAATGTCTTCCAGTTCCAGTGTTAAATGTTCTTTAGAAATTAAAGTTTCTTGATATTTGAGATTGTGTTCTTGCATTGATATATCATTAGAATTATATTACTTTGAAATTATCTCAAAATAACAATATTATCGTTAATTGCAATAACTTCAGTTAATTGTCCAGCAAAATTTGCTATTGTGACAGGAGTAGTCACAAGAGGTTGTTGTGTTGCTAAAGAAGCTGGTTGTTGAGAGAAAGTTGAGTGGAAGAAAAAACATGCAATATTGCTTCTGTTGAAATAAAAAAAAAGTGATATCATGACAAGGAAGCTGCACGAAGTTTCACCATCATCCAGCACCTTGTGCATGCTAAGAGGAAGAATGGAGGTTCAGATCCAGTGACCATTAGAACCACCTTACCAGATAAAACAGCAGAAATATTTGAGTAAATTGGGAAGATGGCCCCACATGACGATCTACTCAGTAAAAGCAGCAAAAACTTCATGTGCCAGAGAATGACCAGGAGAAACCATCCTGGGAGAGAAATACTCTGCCGACGACGTGGCTTATGGCAACGAGAGGGCTGGACGGAAAGACGGACTGATGATGGCAGCACAGGAAGAGGCATTCAGCTCAAGAGCTGCAGAGGTCAAGGGTCAACCTGACAGGACCCATCATGGAGAAAGTTAAGCAGATAGCTGCTGGGTGTAAGAGAACCGAAGGAACGTCATAACCAGGTGACGGGTGGGGCGCCCCAAAGGGCTGAGGAGCCTCCTGGAGTCTGACTGATCCAACTCTGAACATTATCAGGTCGGTGTGGCAGAGAAACGGCGTGATGTGAAAACCGTTTCCTGCCGAGCAGGTTCCTGTACGTCCACACTGAGTCCGCCTCACTGCGCGGCGTGACGTACGCCCGGGTGTGTGGGCCTTCATCCTTTCTCTAAGGCGCAGTCCAGCCATTTCGGCCGCTTGTTTCCAAGATTTTGTTCTTTGAGTCATGATCTCATGGCCATGGTAAGATTCTGAACTTGGTATGTGTGATTTGGCACAGTAGACGCATTGAAAGAGAAATCTCTAAAATCAAAATGGCAGCACAACTTGTTGCATCTGTGAACTGCGGGACTTCTGGAAGAATTTCATTGGGAAAGACGAGACCGATGTAGAAATGTTTTCCAGTGTTCCCACTCTGTCCTCATCCTTCATGTCCGTTTACAGTGTCACTAAATAGAGTATCCACTAAAACCAGTTGACCCCTTTAATGGTTCCTCTTGTTTTGCAGTGATGGACGTGTCCTCTCAGGACCCACCTCTCATGGCCATGGACCTATCGAAGAGCTACACTCCGCTGACCCGCAGCCGCACCGAAGCCACAGATCTGGTTAAAAAGCCTGAGTGGTACCACCGACGGCCGGCGACCTGCAGCACAGACGGTACCTCTGCGTACAGATCCTCGTCCTCCTACAGCCCGCTCTCCCAGCAGGGGGTCCCTGTCCGCTGCAGAGACATGGAGCAGGGCCCAGAGTCTCTGGGCAGCTACATAAGCTCTACTGTGGCTCCGGGTCTGGATCTTTTTCACAGCAGAACACATGGCAACCTGTGGCACGGTGGTTACTACGGAGCCGACCAAAGCGGGGGTCCGGTTCCCGAAAGCAGCGGCGCAGAGGAGAGCGACAGCGGCTCTGACGTCATCTTCCTGGTTTCTTCCGCGAAGGAGCCTCTGTTGTGTGGCTCTTTCATCCAGGACAGCGTGAGGCACATCGTGGAGCCCGTTTCCCCTGCCATGTCCTCGTTGGACGAAGGACGAGGTTGCTATCTCCTACCTCAGCCCATGAGCTCTCCGAGTGCCGACAGCTCGTACTCGGAGGACTCGTCGGACAGCTCAGTAGACATTCCAGTGCATCATGCCAGACCCGTAGTCCTCCTTTCAGACCTCAACACCGTTTACGGACACCCTGGTGAATCGGTCGCGGATGCTTCAAGTGACGACAGCGACGTCATTGAAGTTTCTGTCACGAACCGTAAGAAGGAAAGGCAATGCTACAAGAAAAGTCCGCCTAAAATAAAGAGTGAGGGGGAAAGAGCGTCATCTAGAGAGGTACGGCGCAGTTCCAGAGTAAAAAAATCTGAGTCAGACATGCCTCGGTTAACCTGCACCGTGTCACGGCACAGCTTGAGAAGACGCGTCAAAAATGACGCAGTGGGTATTTATAACGAAAGCAGTGACTCTGAGGACTTGATCGAGTACGCTCTGAAGTTTTCCAGCTCTGAAGAATCCGTCTCGCAGCCAAACCTTCCACAGAAAGCGAGCAGCCATTCAACGGAACCCACCGGGAACGTCCAAACTGACAGGAAGTCTCCTCCGAAGGAAGCTCAATTCACAAAACTAATAAATTACAAACGAAAAAAGACTCTCAGTCTTCCTAAAACTAGAAAGGTTCAAAAAGCAAAGCAGAAGCCGATCTGCAGCATCGCCCCAGCGGAGCAACAGACGGTTTCTGACAGTCAGACCACAGCAGGGAAAAAACGGGTTGCGAGGCGAAAAAGGAAAAGGCGCCCACAGACCGGGCCTTCTGCGCCGTTTTCTCCCAGAGAACCTGAAATCCTGCTCAAATATGCAAAGTCCAAGTATAAAAAGGACAGAAAACCTGCCAGCTTCTGCCCATTTGTCCACATGGAGCAGCAGCTGTGCAGGGTGGTCAACTACCAGGACGACGAAGGGACGATTCCCAGCAGCAAAGGATGGAAGACCGTCTCCAAATCCGTGTCTGGGTTTGTCCCCTGCACGTCCTGCTTCCAGCTGGGTCGGCCCAGCTCTGATGGCGGCGGTCCGGACCAGCTGCTCTGCTGCCTGTGTGGGTGGACGGCCAACACCATGGGCCTCGGCGACCTCCACGGCCCCTACTGTCCCGCCGTCACTTCTATAGACGGTCAGACGTGCAGAACTGATCAGAACGACGACCTGCAGAAACTCTCCAATGGCCATTTGCCAAACTCCTCTGAGGACGACTGCACTCCTGATAAAACTTTGCTCAAAAGCGAGAAAGTCTCTCCCACTAAGGTGCCTCTTCGTCTATGCGAGTGCTGGATCCACGAGGACTGCGGCATCTGGTCCGCCGGCGTCTTCCTAGTCCGGGGAAAGCTGTACGGCCTGGAGGAGGCCGCCCAGATCGCACAGGAAACGGTGAGTGACTTCCTGTTTGGTTATCAGTGCATTTAGCTTCAGCTTTAGCTGTGGATGGACTCCACACAGAGCAGCAGGGCTGATGTTTCCTCTGCTGCTGTGAGGCTGAAACTGCTGGAGGAGCAGCAGAAACCTCCCACAGTGATGGAGGGAAATTCTGCCGAGTCAGGGAAACGGGTCGATGTGGAAGTGGAACCGATATGGTGGTGAGAAACTGGGGCTGCACAGGAACAGGAAGTGATGTCATCGAGACATTATCGGTGAAATATGGGGAAGTGATTGATTATGGCTAACTTATATTTTCCTCACTCTTTGTTTTCCATCATCATTACTCTGAACTCTTCGGATCCATCTGAACGTCTGGATTCCTGCAGCTTGTTCAGGTTTCATGGAACATTTTTGATCTGATTGGTCTGTAGATCTGCTCCAGCTGTGGTCAGCCTGGGGCCATAATGGGATGTTTCCAGAAGGGCTGCCTGAGGAATTATCACTACCCATGTGCCCTTCAGTCAGGTAAACCGGGTTTAAAGGTTTTATTTATTGATTATTGAATGAAACCTTTACTGATTGGTTGTGGTGAACAGCTCTGATCAGCGTTCCTCCATCTTGATTCTCTTTCAGGCGCCGTGCTCAACGAAGAAAACTTCTCCATGAGATGCCCAGAGCACAAGGTGAGCACAGAACAGGGAGCATCCAACCCTTTAACCATCCAACCCATTAACCATCCAACCCTTTAACCATCCAACCCTTTAACCATCCAACCCATTAACCATCCAACCCATTAACCATCCAACCCTTTAACCATCCAACCATCCACACACACACACATGCATACAGACATCCAGAATGAAGTCTGATCCTGATGAGGATATTTTAGTTTGTATTAAAGCTGTTCTGACTGCAGATGGTCCGGTTCTTAGAACCGCCTGTAACAGGGTCCATTTGAAGGTTCTGCTTCCCACAGTTCAGTACTGGCAGAGGAAATTCCTCTGTCTTCACTGAGCACGGCTTTTAGTGAAGACGGTAAATGACCTGATGACTTTCATGTGGTTCTGGTCTGAAAAATGTTAATTTCTGATATTTTTTTTTTGTAAATCAACCAGAATAAAACGTTCCCAGCTGCAGCCAGACAAGACAAGAGATGACAGTGACGACGTGCGGCGCCTTGGAGGTTTGGAGGTTTGTCCTCTTTCAGTTTGTATCCACTGATGACATACAGAAACACAGAAGTAGTTTCCCCCCAAAATCAGGCTGCTGACGGTGCAGCTGCTTAAAGTTCATGATGTTCATGTGACTGCAGTTCCTCGTGTTAACACAAGGGGGCAGCATCAGATCATTGACCAGAGAACTGAGGCGCTCTGCTGAGGAAGACATTCAGAAAACCTGAAGCGCTGCAGGTTCCTGACATGGAGTCGAGTTTTATGTAATCTGTAATCCTAACTTCTCTGGTTCTGACACGCTGGTCGTCATGGAGACCAAATCAACTCACTTCGTTCATCACAACAGACGACATCTGAAGAGTCCAGAAGTTATCTTCATTAATATTCAGTCACCTGCTTCCTGAGACCTTCTGGTGTTTCTGCTTCCTGCTTCAGATTTTTAGTATAATTTCTGTTTTATTTTTTATTTTATTGTTTTAAGTCCTCTGATCTAACTCTGAGTTTGAAACGTTTTCTGAGTTTTGTTCTTTAACAAGTAACGACATCATCTGCTGTTTTACTGTAAATAAAACATCTAACAGGTTTTCCATCCATTACTGTAACGGCCTAGTTCATACACCAGATGTTGTTAATCATCCCGGCGCTCCTCTGACTCGTCTGTATTGTCTCCTGTTCCAGAATGCTCCACCGATCTCCTCAGGGCACGGCGGCGGCCATGGCGGCGGCCATGACGGTGGGAGTGGCTGCAGCTTCACCTCAGTGTTCTGAGGAAGCGGAGCGGCGGCGGCGTTTCAGGCCAGGCGAAGCCGCTTCGCCTGTCATGACTGAATCAGGGTCCACTTTATTTATTTCTGGATATTTTGACTTTTGTTCGGTTCTTTTGTTCGGTTCCTCTGGTTCCTCTTTGCTCTCCGTTTCTCTCCGGGGTGAACCGGCTGCGTTTGGACATCCTCACTTCAACTAGCTGCTAAAACCAGTTTATTATTTGAACATAGGTATTATATCAGAGTTTTATTGATCTCTTGGATAACAGGCCACTTTTCTACAAGTTTTTGTACGACTTTTTTAATCCTTCTAGTGGTTTGTCCTGTTCGTTTTCCTCCTTGATGCATGCACAGCTCATATTTGCTACAATGCACTTTATTACAGTTTTCTATCAGTTATTTAAATCCTTTCATTTGTCAAATTATTTAAATCTGACAAGGCTGCACTAAGCTACAGTTAAACTGTAAAACTACATAGTTAACGGCTAAACCTGGAATATAACTTCAGGCCTTTTGGCTTTCATTCTTAATGATGATTTTATTTTTATTTTATTGGATGAATCTTAACGAGTTTATTGGCTGGTTGCTGTGAACCTGCGGATCCCGTTGGGACGTGGAGGATTGTTTTCCTGTTGTCCTCATCAGTTCATGTGGCATAAATTAATTCTGAAAGTCTTTCTTACCATCGTACTTTCTGCTTCGAGGTTTTCCTAAGGTTTATCCTTGTATCTCGTTGTGAGATAGCTGAAGTTTTATAACTTTTTCTTTAGGGTAGAAATTCTCCACAAACCTTTGTGCAAAACGAGTCAAACGTCAGCTTTCCAGCTCTAAGATGTAAACAAACTTTCCATAAGAATGAAGAAAAAATTCACTTTACTATTTATTTCCACGCGGTTGTGAAGTCATCTGACCGTTTTGTGTCTTTTGTGTTGGTCTGGTAGTTAAAGGGAAAGTTTCCATCTAAACCTTCACAATCAGACATAAACATGCAGTGAATAAATCGAGTTTCTATTGAGTTTTTGCACAAATAGTTGATGATAACAAACACTGAGGCTCTTTATTTGTCTATATTTGAAATGTTAAATTGACATTTGTGACTCTATACAAAGTAGACCAGGATGTATTTGCTTATTGCGAGGGAACCCAAAAGAAAAATCCTCCATGTCCCTCAGGGGCCTCCGTACGAAGTGATTTTATTTAATCTGTTTAAACAGAAAAAGTCTTTGATTTAAAGGTGAGGTCGTCAGGTTGGTGCATTTTGATTGTCTTCAGGATTTAAACACCCCTTCACCTCTTGACTAAACAGAGCAATTTTAGTCAATTATATTTTTTCATAACAATTTAGATTAATTTTGCAGGGTTGGAAATGAACAGTTTGTTTGTTGGAAGCGGCGACAGAGGTTCTACTGATGTAGCTTTGCCTCATTAGGCTCCACTGCCAGGGAGTAAGATACTGACTACTGTTCACTATTCTATAGAACCCCAATTCAGATAAAACCCAAACAATCCATTTAAATCCAGACTGATCCTTTTTGCCTCTTAAAAAGTTAAAACTTGATGATAATCTACCTTCACATTCCGGCACACATAAAAAGCTTTTCCATAAATAATCCTGATTCTGAAACATTCAACTTCCTAAGTGTTTATTTTGATATTTAAGGGTTGATGATGGCAGTTTTAGGGTGACTAAAATATCTGAACTGCCTCCCTGGAAACCAGTTGCTGCTGTTGCTAAGCAGCAGGAGGCCAGTAATTAATGTCCTGTTGTTTTCTGGACCCTTCGTCTCCCGCCTCTCACTCTGCAAACGGCAGGAAATAAAAGTGAAAGCAGCTGGAAGCTGAACAGAGCTGCTGTGATTTGACTGAACCGTCTGTTGGACCCGGAGTTGATCCATCGCTGTTTCAGGTTAAACTGATTTAAATAAAGGGATGTTTAACATAAACGCTCTTTAGTTGGATTCATTTCTGCACTTTCTGTTATTTGAGAATAAAAATGAACGTTATTTAAT